CAAGCAAAATGGGAAAATGAAGAAGAAGAAGAGAAGGGGAATGAAATAACGGAAGTAGAAAAATAAAGAAGTAAAAGAAGGTGGTACCAGTGTCCAATGGGAAGAATCAGAAATGGAGAAGGAAAATATGTAGAGAAAGAAAAGAAAAAAAGAAACTAGAGACAAATGTGAGTCATCGGTCAGGTTTTTATGGGGAGAGCTACATAGAGAGTGGTACAATCAGGTGCAAAGTCAACGGACCTAAGCAAACTATATATACGCTCAGGTGCATCATTCGTATAAAGTCTCTATAAAAATGTTTGTTAATTAAGGATGCGATCAATTTTTAACGAATAACACGGTCTTGTTTTAAACTAATGATCATAAACAATTATTTATGACATATACTCTATGAACTACGTGTATAGATTGTTTCTGCGTTACTAAGGAAAGGGAGCAGATCGAAAGGACATTACCCTTTGACCCTTTTTCACCTGATGATTCAGACTCGCGATCAAATCAAAAAGCTCCATTTTCGCAATCTGCATTTTCATACACACATACACAATGCGATTAAAATACAATTATTAATTACAATAATATTACAATAATAATGCGATAATTGTAATGATGTATTTTATTATAATTTCTACTGTTTCGCAAATAATTATTTATTTTAATTTAATAACAAATCATTTTTAATATACCCGATTTGTATTTGTTTTTTTTTCTTTATATTATTATTAGATATTTACTACTACTGCTGCTATTACTATTTAATTAATAAAATAATAATTATTTAATTAATAAATAAGAGTAGTCATTCAGAAAAAATCGTAGTAACTAAAATTTTACAATTTAGACTATACTGGTAATTTTTTTTTGAAGAATGACAATACAATATAACAATGGAATGAAATAAAATTGAGGTCCTCAAATAAGCATTAAGAAAGATTTACTTCTTCCTGTGTTTGATTTTTTTTTGTGTATGTATTTTCTTTGGGAGCGTATCGCCTTTCGTAATATTTGACTTGATCTTTTAGGATAAACCAGACAGGTAGCTTATTAGTGAAAATGCGCAAGGTAAATTGTGAATAGCTGTAGGGTATTCTTAAAAAAGTTGTAGGTTTGAGAAAAGAAACGTAATCCAGGAGGGGTTCAAAACAGGTTTCCTATAGTGTCGAAATCTTCATCCCACTACATATTTGATCCTTTTATTCCTATAGATAACTTCCTTCCACCGTTAACCTTATTTACTTAAATCTTATTTTTTACATAGTACGCACTAAAAGTCAGTTTACATATAAGCAAATACTAAAATTTATTATATTACTCAAATTTTACGCATACTTTGCATTTTATGAAAATAATGTTATTTTACATTATATCTAATGTTATTCTTTCGAATAACAATTCGTGCAAATAAAAATTCAGTGAAATGCAAATTCTGATATTTGAATTTTTGACTCATTAAGATTCTATTAAATGATTTTTCCAAATAAATTTTAGTTCGATTAGAATAAACTAAGCAACAATTCGCGCGCTAACTTCTTACTACCTTTTTTAAATAAACTAACAGTTTTAAAAATAATGGAATTTAAAAATTTTCTAATTTAAATTTTTGTTGAAAACACTAAAAAAATTCAATTTTGGAGAAATTACGTAAATAATTGCAGAAATTCAATTATTTTCAAAAAAAAAATAAAATTCTTCTTATAAAATTCAACTGTGTTCAAAATTTGGAAAAAATTGTAGTAAAAATCCGAATTATCTTAATAAATAACGAAATTCTTCTTTAAAGTTCAATTATTTTCATAAATGTGAAAAAAAATTTTGTCCTAATTTCAATTATTTTCAAAAATAAAATGCATTTTTCTAATTTCAATGATTTTCAATATCTACGATTTTAATAAAATTTCCCAAAAAGAATTCAATTCTTTTAAAAAGTTTTTTAATAAAATTGTATGCAAACATTCAATTATTTTCATAAATAATAAAAATTTTACAAAAATTCAATTATTTTAAAAAAAAATTAAAATTCTTCTTATAAAATTCAACTATGTTCAAAATTTGGAAAAAAAACTAGTAAAAATCCCAATTATCTTAATAAATAACGAAATTCTTCTTTAAAGTTCAATTATTTTCATAAATGTGAAAAAAATTCTTGTCCTAATTTCAATTATTTTCAAAAATTTTTCTAAATTCAATGATTTTCAATATCTACGATTTTAATAAAATTTCCCAAAAAGAATTCAATTCTTTTAAAAAATTTGTTAATAAAATTGTATGCAAACATTCAATTATTTTCATAAATAGAAAAACTTTTTTAAGGAATTCAATTATTTTTTTTCTATAATTTCAATGATTTTCAATATCTACGATTTTAATAAAATTTCCCAAAAAGAATTCAATTGTTTTAAAAAATTTGTTAATAAAATTGTATGCAAACATTCAATTATTTTCATAAATAATAAAAATTTTACAAAAATTCAATTATTTTCAAAAAAAAAATTAAAATTCTTCTTATAAAATTCAACTATGTTCAAAATTTGGAAAAAATTCTAGTAAAAATCCCAATTATCTTAATAAATAACGAAATTCTTCTTTAAAGTTTAATTATTTTCATAAATGTGAAAAAAATTCTTGTCCTAATTTCAATTATTTTCAAAAATTTTTCTAATTTCAATGTTTTTCAATATCTACGATTTTAATAAAATTTCCCAAAAAAAATTCAATTCTTTTAAAAAATTTGTTAATAAAATTGTATGCAAACATTCAATTATTTTCATAAATAGAAAAACTTTTTTAAGGAATTCAATTATTTTTTTTCTATAATTTCAATGATTTTCAATATCTACTATTTTAATCAAATTTTCCAATAAGAACTCAATTCTTTTAAAAACATTTTAATAAAATTGTATGCAAACATTTAATTATTTTTATAAATAATAAAAATTTCACAAGAATTCAATTATTTTCATAAATAATATAACTTTTTTAAGGAATTCAATTCTTTTTTTCTAATTTCAATGATTTTCAATATCTACTATTTTAATAAAATTTCACAGGAATTCAATTATTTTCATTAATAATAAAATTTTTTTAAGGAATTCAATTATTATTTTCATAAAAAATAATTTAAAAATCTAGAAAATAATAATTGAATTAAAATGATTAAAATAATTTTGATAAAGTTACAGTAACAATATTCTTATAATATAAAATAATGATTTTATCTCTCGATAATCTTTAATTATTATAAGTTGTTTAAATTAAATTATTAAAAAATTATCGAAATTATTAAATTATCGAAATTATTAATTTTTGTTTTAAAGGTTTAAATTTGAAATTTTTGAATGTCTTAATTCCTGTGGAAAATCCTGTTCCAAAAATAAAGATTAAAAATAGAAATTGTGCAAATATTTTTCTTCTTTTTCTAAAACAAAATAATAATTTTGTTAAAAAAATTGTGATTCATGAAGTAAAATAATGCAAAATAAATAAATTTTATATTTCTTAATCACAGTTGATTAACATTTTTCTAATTTTCATTAAGAGTAAAGAACAAAAATCTGCATAATTTCAATTTGACAAAACATAATATTTAACAAAATTTTAATCTTTCAATGAAAAGAAGTGAAAAAAATTCTGATGATTTCTATTTCTCATTACAATTTTGAATTAATTACAAAATAAAAATAATTATAACATTAATTATTAATTAATAATAATAAAGTACATGTTCCGGTAATCTGTTCGCAGTTTGAAGTTAGTTGTTGTTTGCTTTTTTGTTTCTTAACTTTTTTATAATTTTTCTTTTCAAATATTTTTAATTCTAAAATTAATGTATTGAAAATCATCGAATTGATGCAAAGAATTTTATCAAAAAACTTGCTAATAATAGAATTCCTTCCAAAAATTTTATTATTTAGGAAAAAAACTGAATTCTCGCAAAAAATTTTATGAAAATTTTTAAAAATTCTAATTAAATTCTTTTGAAGAATTTCTTTCAATTTTTGTTTCAAACTAATGGAGTTTCTTTAATAATTTTAATTGAAAATTTTGAAAGGAATTGAATTTGATGAAGAAGAATGTTATTAAAAGTGAATTAAAAATAATTGCATTTTGCGAAGAATTTTACTATTTATAAAAATAGTTGAATTGTTTCGAAGAATTTATTAAAATTTTAGGAAATAAATGAAATTTATGGACATATTTAAAAGTATTTGAATTCATCCGAAGAATTCAATTAAAATTGTTTTGAAAATAATTGAATTCCTCCAAAGAATTTTACTATTTATAAAAATAATTGAATTATTGCGAAGAATTATACTATTCATAAAAATAATAGAAATGTTTCGAAGAATTTATTAAAATTTTAAGAAATAATTAAATTGTTACGAAAAATTTTATGGAAATATTTGAAAATAATGAAATTTTTTCGAGAAATTCAATTAAAGTTGTTTCGAAAATTATTAAATTTCTTTAAAGAATTTTATTAAAATTAAGTATATATTCAAAATAATTGAATTCAACACAAGAATTTTATTATTTTTTTAAAATAATTGAATTTATTACAAGAATTTTATTATTTTTTCAACATAATTGAATTCTTTCAATTTTTTTTAAGAATATATTTAAAAATTGCATTGAAAGTAATTCAACTTTTATACAGAATTTTTTAAAAATATTTTGAGAATAATTCAATTATTTTGTAGAGAATTTTAAATTCTTGTTGAAATTGAATTTTATGGAAACTTTTGAAAATAATTAAATTCTTTCACGTAATTTTATTTAAATTTGATTGAAAATAATTTAATTCCTGCAAAGAATTTAATATTTATAAAAATAGTTGAATTGTTTCGAATTTAATAATAAACGATAAATCTGTTACAATAAATAAATAAAATTAAAAAAGAAATAAATCATATAGCTGTTTTCATTTCCAAACGAGTGAAAAATTGTGTAATATTAAAATGAAAAAAAAATTTGTTAATTAAATATAGAAGAGAAATTTTTACCTTGACAATCCTTTGTGCACAATTCCGGTTGATGATTGTGGCTTGTAGAATTACAAATAACAGAACATGGCCGACATTGTGAATCAAAGGGACTGCAATATTCCGATGGTGAACATTTCTTTTGTCCACATTTCAGGCCATCAGGATTTAGAGTTGCAAAAGTGGAAGAGATCACAAAAGATATGCATATTGTGCACAACAACATTATATATTGATTTTAATTTCACCACAAAATAAAAAAACAAGACACTTGTTTTTTTTCTATTTAGAATCTTTTTTCTTTTAAATAACTATTAAATGGAAGTTATTTTGATGCAAACCAATGTACTTTTTAAGTATATATAAAAAAAAACATTGTTTTGTGTCACATTTTAATTTTTCTTCTTTAACTGTATTCAAAGGGAATGTCCTCGGGTGGATCCATGATCATCGAGGCATTTGAACTGTAAAAGAAGAAATTAATTTCTATATATAATAATTTTTAAATAAATTGATGTTTAATTTTAAATTTTTACTAAGCTAAAGGAAATTCTTCTTTAAATTCTATTAAATTATTATTCTTACAAAAAGTTTATAATAATTTTACTGTTTGTTATAAAGTACTTTATTCCCTTTTTATTTTAAGATTTGATACATTATTAAAAATTATTTTTCTATTGAAAATAGAAAAAGAAAATTTTAAACGAAGCGAAAAATAGTGAATTTTAATTTGTATTAAAGAAAATTGATAAAACAAAATTAAATTAATTAATTTCTATTGGTAATAAAAAGTTCCAAGATTCGTTAACTTTATTTCAAGAGTATAACGAAAAGTGATGATAAGTTTTGACTCAGAACATGTAAAAACCGAAGTGAAAATAACTTATGCACATTTTCATTTTATATGCAGGTTGTGATAACGGTAATGTCACGTCTTGTGAGAATTATCTTATAAATAAATTGTCAGTATTCGTCAGCACAATTTTTTTTTTAGAATCATAAAATAAAAATTATTTTTCATAAGAATTGTTAATGAATTTTTGAAAAATTTAAATTCTTTTTATTTTATAAATAAAATAAAACATAACGGAAAAATCTGATTTTTTTACGAAACAAATTAATTTAATTAATGAAGTATTATTTTCATAAATTTTAATAAAAATTTAACAACTACATCAATTTAAAAAAATAAATATGTTTCCAATTCTTCGAAAAAATTTATTATTATTATTGATTATATATTATTATTGATAGAAAATTAAATTTTTTAAAGAATTTCTTTGTTTTTTATAATAATTTTTTTTAATCATTTTAATTAATGAAGTATTAATTAAAACATCAGAGGAGAAAATAGTAAAAAAAATCTATTTTTCTCGATTTTAAGTAAAGCACATTTTTTATATAATAATAAAGCTCATTCGGAAAAAAAGGTAAGTATTATTTCAAGAATAGAAAAAAACACTAATGAATGAATTCGAGTCTTAATATAATCACTGGTTTAAAAAAAAAACGAGTACCGGAAACGATAATTTTCTTCAAGACAATAATGCATTAATAAAGATGCAATTCGTCATCGCATTTTTCTTGCTCAAGATTTTATAAAAACCACATGCAATAAACATCAGTAACATTTATAGTTTGAGACAGCAACTCGTTTTTTTTAAACTAGTCTTGTAATTTTAATTTTTAAATTGACCAATTAAAGTTTTTATTTTTTTAAACAATTGTCCAGATCCAAAATGTTTTTCTCTTGTTTTCATCCAATGTGAATAAAAATTTGCATCTCCCTTGAAATTGAAAATATAAATATTAAAAAGTACAAAAATTTTTAAACTTATTTAAATTTAAAATTTCTTGTTTACATATTTATATTATTTTTAATATATTATTAAAAAAAATAATGTAATTTATTATTTATATCTTGATATATTTTTAAATTATTTGTTTATAAATAAAATGAAGAAAAGCCGCTTAAATAAATGTTTTATAAACGAAATTATTATGCTTATTAATATAAAAATAATTAAATAGAATATTTTTGTTTGTTGAAATATTGAAATAAAAATGCATTTTTGTGTAGTAAGTGAAGCGTTCTTGAAAATTTGGACAATGGAAATTAATTGTAAGGGAGATTTGTAGTATGCAATTATTCCGAAATGACGATTGATTTGCATAAACAATAGTGTGGATTTTTTTTTAATATACACTAGACTCTCCAATGACCGGATGTACTCACGGATGTGAATGCGTAGGACGCTGTGATCAGTGATCATTTCACGCAAAGCCATGTTGAAATCTCTCAACTGAGAACAAAATTCACATTCACGTGTGGACATTTTGACGTTTTGTAAAAACTACAAAACACCTCTAATTAAATTTTTTTTTAATAAAATAGAATTTATTTTTATACGATGTTTTTAAAGAGAAATAATTTAAGGAAAGAAAATAAATATTTTCATGATTTAATATTCATTATTATTAATTATTTATTATATACATATAATAATTATATATTTATGTATTAATAATTTATAATTTTAATAATAATAAATATTAACCGTACATGGCTCGAACTAGGTCCGTAAATCCAGTAAAGTTCCGTAAATTTTCTTCAAGTCCGTAAAAATCAGTTTTTTTGAAAAATGGTTCAGTTGTTTTCAAAAATTTTTTTTAAATCTCGTCAAAATTTCAATTGTTTTTCGAAATAATAAAATTATTTTCCGAAATTCAATTATTTTCAAAAATTTAAATTAAATTCTTGACAAAATTTCAATTATTTTCAAAAATTTTCCTCAAATTCAATGATTTTTAAAATCTACTATTTTAAAAAAATTTAATAAAATTCTACGCAAACCTTTCATTATTTTCATAAAATAATACAAATTTTACAGGAATTCAATTATTTACAAATTTTTTATAAATTTCTTCGCAATCATTCAATTATTTTCATAAATAATAAAATTTTTACAGGGATTTAATTATTTTCGTAAAAAATAAAATTCTTTTCAGGAAATCAATTATTTTCATAAATAATAAAACTCAATGCTGAATTTCAATTATTTTTAATACAATTTCAATGAAAATCTTCAAAATGTGTAATTTCGTAAAATTGAATATTATGTAAACAAATGAATTTGAAAATTCTCAAAGAACTTTTTCAAAAAATTTTCAAAATAATGGAGTTATAGAAGAATTTTTGATAAAAACACTAAAGAAAATTTAATTTTGGAAAAATTACAAATGATTACAGAAATTCAATTATTTTTAAAAGTAATGGAATTCTTATCACAAAATTCAATTGTGTTCAAAATTTACAAAAAAATCTCGACAAAATCCCAATTATTATCTTTATAAATAACAAAATTCTTGTCAAAATTTCAATTATTTTCAATATCTACTATTTTAATAAAATTACCCAAAAGAATTCAATTATTTAAAACAATTTTAATAAAATTTTATGCAAACATTTAATTATTTAAAAAAAAAATAAAAATATCACAGGAATTTCAATATTTACAAATTTTTTATAACTTTCTTCTCAATAATTTAATTATTTTCATAAATAATAAAACTCAATGCTGCAGTTCAATTATTTTTAATACAATTTTAATGGAATTTCTCAAAAAGTGTAATTATTCTTAAAACTTTTATTAAAATTCGTCGAAAGAATTCAATTATTAAAAAATTTGTTAATAAAATTTTTTATGAGAATTCAATTATTCAATAACTTTTTTTTTTTATTTAAATAATTGAATTCTAGTAGCATTTTCTAATAAAAATTTATTTAAAAATTTATTTTTCACTTAAAATTCTAGATTATAATTGAACATTAAAAAGATAATAGCGTGAATTATTAGAAATAATTGAATTTTGAAAAAGTTTAGTAGTAAAATCTTTGAAAATTTTAATTTTTCATACTTTTAAGTTTTAACTAACAATTCTGTAGAAGAATTAATTTTTTTGAAAAATTTTATTTCAATTTTACTTGAAATTATTTTTTTCGAAGTTTTTATTTTCTAATATATTTAAATGGAAAATTTCCGAACAATTGAAATTTCGTATAATGGAATATTGTAAGCAAATGAATTTGAAAATTCTCAAAGAACTTGTTCAAAATTATTAAAATTAATGTATTTATAGAAGAATTTTTGTTAAAAACATAAAAAAATTTAATTTTGGAAAAATTACAAACTATTGCAGAAATTCAATTATTTTTAAAAATTATAATGAAACTCTTGGCAGAATTTCAATTATTTTTAATACAATTTTAATCGAATTTCCCGAAAAATATAATTATTATTCTTAAAATTTTTATTAAAATTCGTCAAAAGAATTCAATTATTTAAAAATTTGTTCATAAAATTCTTTATGAGAATTCAATTTTAAAAAACATGTAATTATTCGATAAATTTGTTTTTTTGTATTTAAATAATTGAATTCTCGTAGAATTTTCTAATAAAAATTTTAAAAAATTAATTTCAATTAAAATTTTAGATAGGTAATAATTAAATATTAAAAGTAATATAGCGTGAATTTTTAGAAATAATTGAATTTTGAAATTAATTTTTTTGAAAAATTTCCTTTTCAATTTGACTTCAAATTATTGTTTTGAAGTTTTTATTTTCTAATAAATATTTAATTGAAGAATTTCCGAATAATTGAAAGTTCGTTAAATTGAATATTATAAACAAATGAATTTGGAAATTCTCAACTTTTTCGAAAATTAATTGATTTATTAAAGAAGAATATTAGTTAAAAATTCTGGAAAATAATTTTGATGAAATACAATATTCTTATAATATAGAATAATGATTTTATCACTGGGCCATCTTTAATTATTATGAAACATGAAGAAATCGATCGCTCCGAGTCGAAGACTCGGAGTTATCGATATCTTCATGTTTTATAGTTATGAAAAATTTAATTTACAGTTTTAAATTTTACAAAAAAAATTTACAGTTTTTTTTAAGTATATTTAGTATTTAATTCTTATTAAAAATGTGATTATCAAAAAAAGGATCAGTTTTGAAAAATGAACCGTTTCTTGTCTCGCCTCAAAAATTGATATCTAAAAGATTTTTTTTTTAGTTATAAATTGAAAAGAGAGAAATGCTTTTTTTTCATTTCTGAAAAAAATTTTGCTTCTTCTGTTTTTTTGGGGGAAGGGAAATTAATTTGCGGATGTGTAATATAATGAAAAAGTGTATTATTGTCTCTATACATATAGAAAATATAAGGTAACTTTCAAAAGAGATACGTGGGTAGACTTCATGCGGTCAAATGAGAGGAATGTTACCTGACTGGTTTCAGAGGAGACTTGAGAGACTCTAGAGAGAAATAATATACGTGAACCTTCATTATGGTAGCGCGGTTGGTTATATTCTTTGACTACAGTGAAGTCAACTCCAACTCTCGAATATAACGAAATCAACATTGTCGAAGATTATCGAAGTCTCCGAATAAGCAATACAATAATCGGCGGCACGAATTTCTTAACCGCGCTAATCCTTTGCAATTTCTCACGTACTCGCGATAAAACAGTTTTTACTATCGCTACTTATTCCCATTTGCAAATTTACATTCGTATTAAAAAAAAAATTTACATTATTTTGAAAAATTACTCGTATTCACTTTATGCAATTAAAGTAAAAATTTTTTTAACGTAAAAAGGCATGAAATCAAGTTTATTTTGAAACGCTAGTTATATAAGATTGCTTCATTTTAATTAGTTTAGCATCTAATTAATTATGAGTTGCGATTAGGAGAAAAATCGCAATAAATTTTTGATGATAGATAAAAAAAAAATTCTGTCAGGAAAGTTTATTCTTTTTAATCGACAGTATTTAAAGACTGTAATTACCATGTCAATTGTTTATAAATTACTACTATTGGAAAATCATAATGATAATAGATTGCATATCTAATTTTGCTATTACTTTCTTCGATTAAAGTATTTTTTAAATTATTTTTTTAAAAAAAAGTATTTATTATTTTAATAATATATTTAAGTATATACCACAATGTTATGAATTCGATTTTATTATTATAATACTCAAATTAGTAAATTAATAATAATTATTATATTATTGTAATAGAAAATTATTAATGTTAATAAAGGTTGTAACTTTATTTATAAAAAGAAAATTTATAACTTTAATAATTAGAGAATTATTTAAAGTTTCTTTTTAAGCGAAATAACTTTTGCAGTGATTGTTGACGCTCATAAACAATATTACAAAATAATTTCAATATTTACATTCCGTTTGGCATTCATCAGCAGATTTTCTTATTTTTTTTCTCGAAACAATTTTACTTACAGTTCAAGAAGTCAATATAGAGTAACAAGTGGCAAAGAATGAGAAAACAACACAGGTGGGAATATTTATAAACTTTATAAACTTTATGAACTTTATAAACTTTATAAACAATAAGGAACAATGGTAAAGTATAAATTTTCACCTGACTCACCCTCAAAAAAAAAAAAAAAAAAAAAAAAAATATGTAAAGTAAATAATTAATAAAAAAAAACTTACAAGCACTTCACAAAAGTCACATTACTGTGTTTAAATATTTTGACTTGAACGTTCACCGACTTTCTGTACGAGACTGTCGATCGAAGGAGCACCGTAATACCCGGAGCTGTTGTAAACGTAAACCTACAGGTCAGGTTTGACTCCCACCTTCAAGAGTCAATCTCCCCCTTCGCAATACACCTGCGAACGTGGAGAGGTTGCCCCTGCCATATTTTTTAACATTTACCTGTTGCCGGTTTCATGTGCGCAAGACGCAAATTTGCGTAACGCTTCTCTCTTTTTTCATTTCAATGATAGATTTGACAGAAATTTTTTATATTTTCTTTTCACTTTTTCCCAATTTTTTATAATTCATTTTCCTGTAAGATAATAAGAACAGTCCAGGGTTACCACGCTTTTGCTCATTTCAAATTCCCCGACTTTTTCAGGTTTTCCAGGTTAAAAAACGGAAATTTTCCAGGTTTTTAACACTACATTTATACTTTATAAAATTGAATAATTCCAATAAATTTTTACAAATACATGGAACTTTCATGTAATACTGTATTCCGCATTGTTATATTTATCTTTTTTAAATAAATATTTATTTTTTATTTTTCCATAGCAATCAAAATTCTTCAAAAGTTTCAAATTCAAACCTTTTTGAAATTAAACGACTTATAAAAAATTGTTATAAAACATGAAGTTATCGATTGCTCCGAGTCGTCGAAGACTCGGAGTGATCGATTTCTTCATGTTTTATAAATAATTAAAAATGACCGACTGATAAAATGATTATTTTATATTTTAAAAATATTGATACTCTAACTTATTCAAAATTGCTTTCATCACTTCAATTCAATTATTGTTTTCCAGAATTTTTAACTAAAATTCTTCTTTATAAAGTTTAAATTAATTATTTTTAATAATTTTTCAAAAATTTCTTTGAAAATTTTCAACTCCTTTTTGTTTACAATTCAATTTTTCGAAATTTTGTCAATTATTCGGAAATTATTTAATTAAACATATATTAGAAAATAAAAACTTTAAAAATATAATTTGAAGTAAAATTAAAATAAAATTTGAATTAGTAACAATGTTTATTATTTGAAATTGGTGACTGACTTTTTGCTTTTGAATTAGTAAATTTTACTATTAAATTATGAGAAACCGAGGAAACGACTATTTTATTCTACAGCATAGAGAATTTTATTTCAATTTTTAAGTATAGTAGCAGGTCCACCCGTACGCCATCAAACAATCAAAATTTGGTAGAAACGAAAATAAAAATGTATTTCTTCCAAATTAAATATTTCTAATCATCCGAAAATTACCTAAGTTTCAGTAGAAACTGAGCCCTAAACAATCCTGAAGAATAGAGAATTTTAATAAAAATTTATAAGTAGTAGCAGGTCCACCTGTACGCCATCAGACAATCAAAATTTGGTAAAAACAAAATAAAAATTTATTTCTTCCAAATTTTACAATTCTTATCGTCTGAAAATTACCCTAGTTTTAGTAGGGACTGAGCCCTACACAATCCTGAAGAATAGAGAATTTTATTTCAATTTTTAAGGAGGATGGTGACTGTCTTTACGGGGCAAGCGGCGAGAGGGGAATTTACATGCTTTTATATGGGATTAAAACTGCAAATACCAACTGTTTTAATATATATTTTATAAGTGAAATATGCAATACTTAATATATTAGACATAAAAAATAGTATTTTTAATAATTCCAATTCATTATTCTTAAAAAATATTTTAAAAAATAATTATTTAATTACGTAAAAAAAATTTTGTAAAAAAATTTTATGAGCATGGAGATCGTGACAACAGCGCATTCCATATGCATGCTAGAAATAGTGTTGGTAACACTGAATAAGTTTTCATTCGTATATGATTACATTGCGACGTTGCCACGTTTCTGTGTATTATGTTAGAGAGGTTAGAAAATCTGTAATTTTACGTCAGTTTTAATGTTATTTCTAAAAATCAGGACAGTCGGTTTACTCAATTATTTTTTAAATTATTCCAAAAGTATTAAACTTTAAAAGAGTATGATTTTTAAAAAAAGTTTAACTTTTTTACACAAGTTATTATCAAAATAGTGCACTTCACATAACACTCCCCATAAGAGCCCATATAAAAACATCCTCCTTAAGTAGTAGCAGGTCCACCCGTACGCCATCAGACAATCAAAATTTGGTAAAAACGAAAATAAAAATTTATTTCTTCCAAATTTCATAATTCTAAAAGATCTAAACATCTAAAAATTACCAAAGTTCTAGTAGGGACTGAGCCCTACACAATTCTGAAGAATAGAGAATTTTATTTAAATTTCATAACTTGTTGTACTCTTCCGTGGACAGCATGTCGTTTCTTCGTTCTAATATCTGTTGAATTTATGTGTTTTTGTGGATTTTTTTTTAACTAGAAAAGTTATAAAAAACATCAATATATTGCTTTGAAGCAAGAAATGGATCTAAACGCAATATATATAACCGATGAGGAAACTGGAGATGCCTCAGTGGATAAAAATTCTACCAGTCTAAATGAGTGTCGAGAAACGCCTTTTGCAAAGAAAATTAATTGCGCTTGCGTTCGATAGGGACCGAAGTGGGGACTTACGAAAAGAAGGACCATGCGGGTTTTCGTTGCCGATAAGAGCTAGTATGATGTAACGAGTCATGATAAACGGTCAGCTCCTGTAACGCGTGCGGCTAGTTAAAATAAACCAGTATTTTTCTGTTCCACATTATATTGTTTGTTCAATCAATTATTTCACCCACCCCCTCACAACAATGAGGAAGTACCTGATGATTCATCGCCTGTCGAAAAAAATTCTGAAATACGTAATTTTTTGAAACCAGTAGATTTAGATCTTCCGAGTTATAGGATAACAAAAAGCGATTTTTGCGAATGTTACTGCCATTACTTAAAGATAGAACAAAATTATTTAAGTTTTTTTGATAATTCTTCAGATAAACGGATAAATTTGAAGCAACAGTATAACAGTACTTTTTATTTACAACAAAAAGAATGCACTGATATAATTAGTTGCATTATGTGTAAAAAATTTAAGTGCGTTTCCCCTTCGTATCAAATTGATTTCTCAAAAATTCCGTTACATGATATTGCTGATTACAGTAAAGAACAATTGGATTTTATAAAAATTAATTGTTGTCAGGATGAGAGTATAACTTTTTCATCTTATTTGGATTCTCAAAAAGAACAATTTCTATTCCATGAAATTTATCACTTCACAAAAATTTGTTATTTTGGTGAAGACTTGGAAAAAATCAAAAATACATTAAACATAGAAAGTGACATTCACAATTTGTGTAATTTCGTTCTGTTCCACGCTCTAAATCAAAGTTTCAATTTTAAAAGAAAAATTAACATAAATGAATTTTTTCAAATCATATTATATAATTTGGTTACTCTATTAAAATTAGAAGGAAACTATTACTCAGCTTTCTACAATGATATTGGATTCCATGGTATATCCTGTGCAATTAAAAATTCACTTTTAAAAATTCAGAAAAAGAAAACTTTTCCCAAGAACATAACGTCGTTATCACCAATGTTTATATCTGATCTAAATCTATATAGTATTGATAGGTGTAATAAAATAGTATTTGATAGTAATTCTTTCCACCAAAAACATAATGATTTCATCGTCATCGAACTTTACAGAAATAAAAAATTGTCAAATGTGTCAACTCTTTTTCGACAAATTGAAAAAGGTGCATTGGATGCAACTGCTCACTTTGACAATTATAAATATATTGTCCACTTCATTTTGAAAAAAGATAGATGTATCCCAATTATTTCAACAAGTAATTTTTCAAACATGCTGAATATGACAGGCATAATACTTGGTTTGAACACAGAAGAAATAAAAAAATTTATAAATCAGGATCTACCAATAATATTAACAAGAAAAGAAGAAACAAATACTTTTTTTGAAGACGAAAAAGTATATAAATTTTTTTTTTTATTAATGCTTTATTAAACATCTACAGATGCTTATTAGCTACATATACAATTATTCAAATTTTTAATTTTATCAAAAAGAGAGAAACAAAAAAATACATTTGATGTAAATATATTGAGTAATTATATTTTTAAGTTTGATTCCTTGATGAAGATACTTATGGCTCTGATAGCTGCAGGATTTATGTCGTAAATGATACTTGAAACATTTATTGGTAATTGATAGAATTTTTTCAGCTTTTGCATCATTTTAGTCCTTGTGTTGTCATACTTCTGACACTGCCATAGAAGGTGGTTGACGTCTTCTTCTGGGTGTCCACATTCACAAGATTGGTCGTCCTTCAAATTGATTTTAAAAAGGGAGGCTGCTAGGTGATAATGGTTTGCTCTCACTCGATTGACCCAAACTGTTGTCTCTCTAGGGAAGTTTAATTTTTGAAACCAGGCTTTTGAAGTGTCTTTGAAATAATATTTAAAATAGTCAATTCCTTTCACTCTGCCTTGTTCTTTCATTTGAGCAATCGTTTTGATCTTAGCATCTTGATTGAATATTGGTTTGAGGTCAGTGTAGGGTATTTTCGTGATGGTTGGAATTATGTCTTCTGTTGCTGATTTAGCAAGTTCGTCAACATTTTCATTTTCCTCTATGCCAACATGTGAAGGAATCCAGTAGAATTTTAATTTTCTGGATTCAGGAGATTTTTGAAGAAATTCGTTATATTTTTGTTTAATTTCCAGAAGATGATTATTAACTTTTACTTGAAATTGGGTATGATTTAAGGCTTGCAAAACACTTAAACTGTCTGAGAATATATAGATATCTTTATTGGGTACTTCCAAAGCAATATTTAATGCTTCTTTTAAAGCTATACACTCTGCTGTATATATTGAAGCATGTGTATTTATGCTTTTCTTTAATTTTATTTCCAATTGAGGACAGTAGCAGGCAGCTCCTACGCAATGCGCTTCTTCAATTTTGCTTCCGTCAGTGAAGATGGATAAATTCTCTTGTGAGTTTTGATTAATTATATCTTTTATTATTTCTGGATGTCCCGTATTTTTAATAAAGGTTCCAATTTCTATGTCAAAAGGTCTTGGGACCGATGGTGAGATTTCCCGTTTCCGGCCTGCTCACATGGGGTACTTTCTTTGAATTTTGTGAACCCATTCTTTCTTGCTGTTTGGTTGCCCTTTAGTGAAAAGCCCCGCCACCACGGCAAGGTCTACCGAACATATCCATGATGCCAGTCGTGTCCGGCAGCGGGACCACTTCTCCCAGCACATCAAAGAAATCAATGATGTTTGGCAGTGGACCCGCTTCTCCCAGCACATCTAAGACATCAATGATATTCGGCAGTGGACAACCAGCGGCGGAGGTTTATAATAATCTTCACTTCATTTAACACCTCATTCTAATCTCCTAAAATTCCACTAGTGAAAAGTAAAGATTCCCACCTCACTACTTGAACAATAAGTAGAAAGGAGGGGATCCACTACCAAACAGGTTTGAAGGTTTCGAATATTTTCGTGTAACATTCCTTTAAATTAAATTATTGTTAACAATTTAAAATTTGTTTATTACAGAGCACTACACAATCCTGAATAATAGAGAATTTTATTTCAATTTTTAAGTAGTAGCACCATCACCCGAACGCCATCAGACAATCAAAATTTGGTAAAAACGAAAATAAAAATTTATTTCTTCCAAATTAAATATTTCTAAACATCCGAAAATTACCAAAGTTATAGTAGTAAGTGAGCCCAACACAATCCTGTGGAATAGAAAATTTTATTTCAATTTTTAAGATGTAGCACCCTCACCCGAACGCCATCAGACAATCAAAATTTGGTAAAAACGAAAACAAATAGAAGTTTTATTAAAGTTCTAGTAGGGACTGAGCTCTACACAATCCTGAAGAATAAAGAATTTTATTTCAATTTTTATGTAGTAGCAGATCCAACCGTACGCCATCAGACAATCAAAATTTGGTAAAAACGAAAATAAAAATTTATTTCTTCCAAATTAAATATTTCTAAACATCTAAAACTTACCAAAGTATTAGTAGGGAATGAGCCCTACACAATCCTGTGGAAAAGAGAATTTTATTTCAATTTTTAAGTAGTAGCAGGTCCACCCGTAAGCCATCAGACAATCAAAATTTGGTAAAAACAAAAATAAAAATTTATTTCTTCCAAATTTAACAATTCTAAACATCTAAAAATTACTAAAGTTCTAGTAGGGACTGAGCCCTACGCAATTCTGAAGAATAGAGAATTTTATTTCAATTTTTATGTAGTAGCAGATCCAACCGTACGCCATCAGACAATCAAAATTTGGTAAAATCGAAAATAAAAATTTATTTATTTCAAATTAAATATTTCTAAACATCTAAAACTTACCAAAGTATTAGTAGGGAATGAGCCCTACACAATCCTGTGGAAAAGAGAATTTTATTTCAATTTTTAAGTAGTAGCAGGTCCACCCGTACGCCATCAGACAATCAAAATTTGGTAAAAACGAAAATAAAAACTTATTTCTTCCAAATTTAACATTTCTAATGATCTGAAAATTACCAGAGTTTTAGTAGGGACTGTACCCTACGCAATCCTGAAGAATAGAGCATATTATTTCAATTTTTAAGTAGTAGCACCCTCACCCGAACGCCATCAGACCAGTAACTTTTTAATTTCCCAATCAGTGAAAAATGATTTATATTTTAGTTATTTTCAACTGATTTTCAGTGAAATTCCACTGATTTAAATCGCAAGAACAGAGTCACTGATTTAGAGAGTAAAATTCGTCGAAAGTATTTAATGATTTAAAAATTTATTGATAAAATTCTTTGTGAGAATTTAATTTTGAGAAGCATTCAATTATTTAATAAATTTTTTTATTTTTGTTTTTAATTGATTGTATAATAAAGAAGGAAATGAATAAATAATTGAATTCTCGTAAAATTTGCTAATAAAGATTTTGATTAAAAAATGAATTTCAGTTAAAATTTTAGAAAATCATTGAATATTAAAAGTATCACAGATGTAAATTTTGATAAATAATTGAATTTTGAAAAGGTTTCAAATTAATATCTTTGAAAATCAAAATTTTTCATAGTTTTAACTAACAATTCTGCAGAATTAATTTTTTTTAAAAGTTTAACTGAATTGTTTTAGAAATTATTTCATGTTTTTATTTTCTAATATATTAATTGCAGACTTTCCGAATAAACGAAATTCCGTGTAAAATTACAAAACACGTGTGTTTTTTGTTATAATTAAAAATTAGGACAGAAAAATTTAAAAAAAAATAAAGAATTGCGCAATTTGTCATGAGTAAAACTTCTACTAACAATAAAAAATTAATTAATTAAACATTGTTTAAACAATTAATTGTTGTTATTTTTTTCGTAAACTAAAGTTAGGACTAGAAATTTCTAGTTTTTTCTCAACTGAGCAACTTTTCAGAAGAAAAACATCTACTAATGATAAAAATAAAAAATAAATTATTTAACATTGTTTAAACAATTGATTTTTGTTATTTTTTTATAAACTGTACTTAAGGAAAGAAATTACTACTTTCTTCTCAATTGTGCAATTTTTTATAAAATAAATATGTACTGATGATAAATAATTAAAAATTATTTATTTAGAAATTGTTTAAACAATTAATTGTTATTTTTCTTAAAAAGTGTACTTAGTGTTAGAAATCTTTTTGCTGTATTGCTCATTTTCTTGTAACTACAACATTCAAATATAAAAGAAAATTTAAAATTAATTATTTAAACTTTGTTTAAACAATTTGTTTTGTTAATTTTTCAATTTACTGTACTTAAAACTATAAATTGCCAGCTTTTTTTCAATTGTGCAATTTTTTATAACTTAAACACTCAAGTATAATAGAAAAACTAAAAGTTTATTATTTAATCATTATTTAAACAATTTATAGTTTTTAATTTTTCAATTGAATGTTTTTAGAAAAAACTAGAAATTTCTAGCTCTAATTGCACTTTATGAATAAAATGACAACAATACATTGTTTAAATTATTTCTTTATTTTTTATCAATAGATTGGTATTTTACTCATGAATAATTGCACAATTTTGAAAAATCTAGAAATTTCTAACCTTAAGGACAATTTATGAAAAAAATAACAATTAATTGTTTAAACAATTTAATAAATAAATAATTTTTTCTCCTTAGTAGATGTTTAACTCCTGAAAAATTTAACAGTTGAGAAAAAACTAGAAATTTCTAACACTACACTTTATAAAAAAAATAACAATTAATTGTTTAAACAATTTAATATACATATAAATAATTTTTAAATTTTTTATCATAAGTACAGGTTTCGCTCCTGAAAAATTGCACAATTGAGAAAAAACTAGAAATTTCTAGTCTTAAGTATAGTATATGAAGAAAATAACAACAATTAATTGTTTAAACAATGTTTAGTTAATTAATTTTTTATCACTAATAGAAATTTTGCTCATAAAAAATTGAAAATTTGCACAATTGAGAAAAAAATTGAAATTTCTAGTCTGAATTAGTTTATAAAAAAATAATAATAATTAATTGTTTAAACAATTTAATAAATTGTTATACTTTTTTTCATAAATCAGAAACACTCAAACATTATTTTATTAGGTTTTTTTGATCAATTTTCTTAATTAATGAAGCTAATAAAAAATATTTTTTACGATTTTATGATTTTTTTAATACTTATTGTTAAAAAAAATTTGTTGTTAAAAAAAAGTTTAAAAGAATTCAACTAATTTTAAAAACAATTTGAACACAAATTTCTTTGAAAATTGCACTTTATTAAAAACGAAATAAGTTGGATTTTATACCAGAAAAATGGTATTTCGTTGCAATATTTGGAAAAATAGTGAAAAAAAGTCAAGACCTAAAATCTTTTTTCTTTTAAATACATTTTATATTAAATTACAATTATGGTTTTGCAAAGTTAAGATCTTCTCGAAATTCACGATTCGATTACAATAGTCGATCATCTAATAAAAATTGTTTGTAACTTTATTATTTGAATTCCAATTGATTCAGAAATGACGCGAACAGAATTTACATACTCGTTTTTAATGAAAAATCGATTAAATAATCGATTAATTTAATCATTGCCAAAAGAGTGAAAGACAGAGTGAATATAGAAAAAGAGTGAATAAGATTATACAGAGGGTGTCAGGTATTATAATTAAATGCCACATTTGTTTTATACTGGGATGACGATATACATATTTATTGCATATTAAAGATCCATGTACAAAGATATAACAATGATCCTCGCCTAAGAGTGCTTACATGTATTACAGAGTTAATTTTAATTTTTTATTTTTTTTTATCCGATCGCTATACAGGACGCGAATGAATCGTTGCTGACAGAGAGGATATGTCCCAAATTTTTATTATCTAATGAACTCTTTTTCTTTTTCCTTTTTTTATTCTTCATTTAATCAACAAATATCTCTAAATTATTAATTCGTTTTATTATATTATTATAGTCACACTAAACTCTCTCGAGTCTCTCAATTTGCCTCAAAGGAAAAATTAATAATTCAATCATATATACCCTATAAATAATTTTTACAAATTTTACAAGAATTTCCATTCCCTGGGACATGATAATAAATTTATTTCAATTAAAAAACAATTCTCATCATTAATTACTCGAATTCACATTTATTGTGTTTCACATCATTCTATGCTTTTTTTTCTTATAATAATATTCTTTTATAGATTTGTATATTTTTTGTTTAGCTTATTGTGTCTCTTTTTTATACAAGTTTAACTTTTATTCTTTATTTAATACAGTTCATCTGCAATTTCGATAGTATTGCCAATTTTTAAATTAAAATAAAAATTCTATCTGCGAAAATTGCAGGACACAATTTATAATTTTGGAGAAGGTCTTTTTTTTACATATTTTCAAAGAAAAAGACAAGGCATCGAATCAGAGCTAACAATAAAAATAAATTGATTTTGTTTGTTATGGGAAAAATTATAACTTTTTCGATTCGAGGCCTTGGTAAACATTTTTTTTTTCGTAAAATTAATTTTCATTTTTTTATTTGTGCGCATTTTTTTAATCGATCGGTATTTTTTTTTCTCGATCGATATCTATCGTAGAACACCCTGTATTAAATTTTTTTTCATTCACTTGTTCCACTTAGGGGGCTAATATTTTTTTTTTAACATTAATATTTGTCTATCATTATTTGGAAAAAACACTAG